TGTAATTTTTCTTTCCATCATGCTTGAATTATTTAAATCTGTCTCGGCTGTAAAATAATCTGGACTATTTTTAGTGCGCATCAGATAATGTCACTTTTTCCACATTGTACTACTGTAAATTATTGTATAAAGTAAATCAAATGGGCTTTTCTCAGGCTGGTATTTTTTTAACTATTTCCCCATCGACTCAGGCTATTTCCTCTCTTCTTTGGTTTTTTTGACGTTTCTTAATCTCAGTAGTTTTGAATCATGAAATGGGGTAAATATTCCACGTGTATTCGTTCTGTAGGATCGTTTGGTTTGTTGATCTCCTCTCTGGTTTCTCTCTATCTGTAAGTGAATTGGCCTCACTTTATAACAGCATCATGTCAAAAAATACAAGCGGTGTAACAAAAAAAGGACATGAACGGGTCGATCGTAGCTAGAGGCACTTATGAGCTCTCCTTAGAACATTTCCATGATGATCTTTCCTCTTATTTTCTATAAATGTTGGCAATAATGTAATATTTTCTATGCAGCCCGAGTAAGTCAGAATGCTGTTACAGGACATACTGATGTACATAGATCTCCTTCTATATTTCAAATCCAAATTTACACTGAAAATGCATGGATTTTTAAAGTAATTGTTTTATATAATTGTTTATAAAGTCATTAAACTCAAATCACTGTTTTCACCTGTAATCTGGCTTTAATGTAATTTAGCGTGCTTTCAAGTACATTTTACGATTTATGATTCAGAAGCATTTGATGATGATTGTCTGTACCAATGAATACAAGCTTCTTTTTGGGTAAATTTCACAAACTGTCGCTGATGGTGTTGCTTATTTCAGTATGATAGATTTTAATGCCAGGAAACTTGAGTCTGTCACTTTTGTCAGCAATGCATTGCCTCATTTACCATTTAAAGTATGTTGCTTTGCCCTTGAGCCTGCTGTTTGATGCATGTGAACTACAACTGAACATGCCAGAGGAAAAAGCATGGCGTTTTGCCATCTGCACGATGTTCTGCTCTTGCTCAACTCTTGCGTTCAGACTCGAGTGCAAATGCATTTCTTCTGTCCTCTTGCACAAGTTGACTTGTGTGGTTACAGAAATGAGCAGAAGTTAAAACATTGCTGATGACACCAATTTACACTATTTCACAAGTGAAAAACCTACAGCATGCTTTCACTAGTTGAGTATAAGAAGAAAAGCTTGCTTGTTAACCCAGCTTACAGCATCTCAATTAATGATTGTTAACAGACTGAGAGAAGTGATGAGACCGTCAAGCCCATGTCTTCCAATAGTTTAATAGTTGACGTCAAATGCACGATTCATATGCTTACAGTTCCATTGATGTTGCCAGAAGAGACATTTCTACAAACAAAAATCTTTTCACACATAAATACATCTTCGAATGCATAATGTTAAATGAGCTTAAGATGCAAGATAAACTATTTGATGACTTTCTACTACAAGCCAAAGGCTAATGCTGTCTATAGGAAAGATAAGGAAGTTTACTGAGACTGAAGCACTGCAGGGTGAGCGTCACTGGATATCTTGTAACATGATCTATGTCTTACCCACAACTATGGTAACTTGGCTGTCTGATGTAATCTAATACGGCTGCCACAGGTTTAAAGACAGGCAAAGGCAAAGGGAGTAACAATAACGACCCACTTCCAGGCGTTTGAAAAATAAGAGCATATGAAGGCAACATTTATTCAGGCGAGCGTCATCCTGTAGGACAGGAAGCAGTTGAAATGGCTGTGGGTTTTAGTAGGTCTTTTTCTCCTCAAATATAATGTTGGCAGTGGCTTTCTTGGCTGCAAGACAAAATAAAAGACTGGATTAACAAGAGTTCATAACTGATTTTAAAGACTGCAAGGAAACACAGAGCTTGGACATATCACTGATGAAACATCATCTGTCAGTGAAGATCCAAATGCATTTTTAATTGCTATTTCTCCAATCAGAAACCAACTCAACTGACAAAAACAGCAAATGCATGAACTGCATCTGGTTTTCACCTTCATCTCTAAACTTGTCTGCCGCCTCTGATGCTTTATCCGTGATGTCTTTCATCACATTGTCGATCTTGGCTTCATTCTTTAGGAAGAAGGGCCGGATGATTCTTGTGTAGAGCAGAACAGAGCCGTTTGATGGAGTGGGAGCCATGCACCAAACCAAGAAAGCGCACTAGCGAGCCAAAAGAGAAACAAAACCATTAATCTACTCCATATTAGAAAAGCATTAATTTTACATATGAAAATATTAATGTTGTGCCCACTGTCCATTCACACAGTTGTTCTTTTAAGGGCTCAAGCACAAAATGCACTAAAGTAAACGTGTTTGGGCTGTAACGCCTCAATCGTCAATCTTAAGGCACCTCAAACTGAGGGGCCTTAAATCACTTGATCAAAAGTGATCAAAATCAGGTTAAACTGTAGTTCAGTGTGGGCACGTCTAGCCCGAACGTATTTATCAGAAGACACCACCTTTAAATGGCTATAGCTTTTGATAGCATTGTGATATTTTCAGAAAATGTATATCTCTCCCATCTAATTTCAATAGGTCAATAAAGTCAGTAATGATCAAAAATATGTTAATAGGAAAATAAGGTTTGGCACACTTAACAGGATGGTCTCTAAACCATACTGACACCACCAACCTTTTCTTTTAGTTTTAAACTTTGAATCCTTTGGTCTAGAAACATCACGATTCTTCTTCTGATTTGTATCTTCAGGGTAATTTTAATGAACTAAATTCTAGTAATTAAAACCTTGTATTTGGCCACCTGTGCGTTTATGATTTAACATTAATCAAATATTCTTCTCTCTCAGTCTTCTCTTCATACTGGCCCTGCACTGACTTGATGACTATTCCTTTAATCTAATATTTTCTGCTATTCTTATTAATTGCTGCATTTGTGATGCTTATCAATCATTTAAAAAATGCTTTTACTATTTATTATAACTATCTCAAGTTATCTCTTTCTTGTCATGCACCAATAAAAAAATGAAGAAATTGTATTTTTCATTAAATAATAACAATTACAGGTGAAATATTGTTGCCAGGGTTACTTTACCAATGCACTGAAAAGTCCAAATCAACATGACTGACATGTTATTACAATAAAATGCATTTAACTGTAGCTAACATAATGTTATGTACCGTACAATACCTTTCCCAGGAAGTAGAAGGGGAACCAGGAGAGGAAAATGTCAGCGAAGAACTCGGCGACGCTGAACACGCCGTAAACCACCCAGTAGGTCAGCCATTTGGTGTCGTCCTCTTTGGTCGCGCTCTCGATGGCTTTGATTCTGCAAACACATGAAGCGTCACAGTCTGATATGATGACCTGAAGTCTGCGTTCTCTACACACCGTTTGTTATTTCAGATTTACTAATATTAGATAACAGACAGAAGATTGTTCATTTAGAGCATTAGATAACTGCTTCTCTTGTCTTGGGAGAAGACCAGGATGTTTTAACCCTGTAACCCCATTTTTTTTTTTTTACAAACAGACGTGTGTGTGTGTGTGTGTGTGTAAATATACAAATACAACAAACAATGCTTTATTTTTCAGGTACAGTAGGTGTATTTAGTAGTAGCATTCAAGAAACTGTATGAACAAAACGCTATTAAAGTTCTTCAGTCAGAGCAGTGAATGGTTTTTCTCTTTGTGTATTTTTTTTGTTTGTTTTATTAACATTAAATGGATAGTTCACCCAAAAATTAAAATTATGTACATAATTTACTCACTCTCAAGATGTTTTAAACCTGAATGAGTTTCTTTCTTCTGTTGAACATAAGTTGCTGGTCCCCAGTGACTTCCACAGTATTTTTCTCCTACTATCAGAGTCAATGGGGACCAGCAACTGTTTGGTTACCTACATTTTTAAAAATATCTTCTTTTGTGTTCAGCACAAGAGAGAAATCAATACAGGTTTGGGACAACATGAGAGTGAGTAAACAATGACAGAAATTTAATTTTTGGGTGAACTATCCCTTTAAATGGCAAGCGGCAGCATGTTTAGGATTATTAGTCTGCTGTCACTTTAAGACCTTCATGCATCTAATATACAGTCACGCATCTGTTCTTCTCTCAACTGTTTACTTTCACTTTAGACATAACCAACTGTGTTTATATGTAAACTTGTGTGTTTTTGACAGTATTAGCGCAATCCGACACAAAAGATAACTTAGTCCAGTAATCAGGCGCTGTTTGACATGATTTTTAATGTGCGCGCGCTCCAGAAAAAGCGCATGTCAGAACAGCTCGTGAATGAAATGTTTAACCGACGAGGCTTTAAAACCCATGCAAATAATGTACCTTTGTGATTGCGAATAAGTGCAGTGTCCCGTGAG